TTGGAGCAGAAAGTAAACAACCTATCCCTGAGATAAAACATGGTGGTGGCAGCATCATGCAGTGGCAGTGCAGGGAAGCAGATCATTGATGGAATGACTGATATTGTCAAATACAGAACAATCCTGGATGAAAAGAGTTTAATTTTCCTTCCTTGTCATAATTAATCACTGTGTATTACTGCCAGTACTTTTCGTGGGACTGAATTTCTTTTTATTTATGTATTTTTTGCCAGTATCTAATATTTTGTTGTGTACATGGAGCAATGGCCAATCAAAATGGCGACTAAAATCTGCAGGATGAATGCTGAAAACAAGCAGCTCTGTAATAATTGTGTTGAAGTTTTAATGGAAGTAGTTCAATAAAGCGGTGTCTCTTTATGATGTATGGCAGATTCATAAGTGCAATATTTTTTTTGGCCCTCATCCGCATCGCTTCCCATCAATTAAGTAAGGTATTACCATCCTGGACGGCGAGACGAATCCCTGCGTATTTATTGTACCTGCCTTCGATTGTGAATCTAATTGCATTTATTGAGCTGAGAGGTGGGGGGAGAAATTGCCTTTTGACGGCGAGATTCCAGTTACTCCTCCTTGATTAATGATCTAATTTGTCATTACATGGAGATGATGAAAAGTGGCCTTCTCTCGCTACAAAAATAAAGCGCTCGGCTCATTCTTTACCCATTTCATACGGCGATGTTCGCTTAGCGTGGAGTTTTTTTTTTGTTCCTTTAGTTTCATGGTTCATTAAGATGAGTGAGTGCTGCCTCTTCATTGTTTACACGGCTAATACTAACAGTATTAGTTGAGTAATTTACGGCGGTAAAACTGTCATGCTTTGTTGTTGTCTTTGTCCTGCAGGTGGGATACGAGAACGCGGGAACCGTGGAGTTCCTGGTGGACAAACATGGAAAACACTACTTCATTGAGGTCAACTCCCGGCTCCAGGTCGAACACACGGTCACCGAGGAAATCACGGAGTAAGTGGCGGATGTTTATTTGCCAGGATGGCTTTATGCTGCCGGGCAGCCGCGCAATTGTGGCGGTTGTCATTTTGCATGAGCGTCTGGTTGGCGTCGTTTTTCTGCCTGACAGGTACGCCGCTTGAAGGTTGGAAGGTTTCCATTCTGGGAGTTTGCAGGATTTGTGATTTAAAACTGGGGGAATGTGCGGAGCAGGTGCGGAGTCGGGAGCAGACTCAACATAGTGCGCGTCAAACGGGAACAAAAAGAGAGAAATGAGGAGGTGTGCAGGATGGGAACAAAAGAAAGGACTGACGAGTGTAGAGGAAAATATTTTATGGATCTGGGAAGCCGAACAAACAGGCCTGAGATCTGAAACAGGGGGTCAGATTGAGTGAGAAACAACAGGAAGCATAATGGAAGTTATAAATAGCTCTCTGCTCCACTGATGATCTGTGCGATTTGCTCGGCTCAGACGACACAGATGGGTCTCAGGCTGGTCCACAAGATGAAAACACAAACACATAAAGCGCCTCAAGTTTATCCCACAAATCTTTGCTCAGCATTGCACATTAAGAGTTTTCAAATTAATTTATAACTCAAACGTCACCGAAGCAGGTCCGGTTATAAAGCAGCGCTGGTTCTGGAACCAGTTCTGTCAAAGTCTGGTTTGGATTTCTACACATTGAGAAAAACACCTTGGCACCATGGCATGTCAAAGAAAAGTTTAGTCAAGAAAACAATTTCAATGACGATACCAACATGGTTTCCTCAGGACATTAAAAATGATTAAATGGGTTTTGTTGAATTTAAGGCCTTAAATGTCATCAAAACTGAATCTCAGCTGCATTAAAATTCATTAGTTTAAAACAAAAAAGTGTTCAGCAGTTCTGAGTTGTTCCGCGGGACTCGTCCATTGGGGAATTTATGAATTTTCATCAGGAACGTACATTACCATCACGTTTGGACCAACTCAGTATTTTTTTTTGTAGCGGGTTGGTAAAACCTGAGCAGCCGGGAAATGGGTCAATGGCAATTCCAGCCGAAGAAAAATTTACTTTCAATGGCATTAAAACAGAACTTCTCCACTTTATTCAAAACTTGTACATTTTAGTCATCAAAATTCATAAACTGATTCCTGCAGAAACCCTTAGTAATGCCAGACTTCGGCTTTAATATGCAAAAAACCCATCTGTGCCTTCAGGATTTACGCTGGTCATCATTAAGCAATTTGTTTCCATGGAGAAGAAACTGTAGTTGATATTTCTGCATCAAAAGATTGCCTTGATGCAAATGTGAGTTTGAAGATGAAGATTTCCTGCTTATCGATGCAGTTGATTGGTGACTTTTAAGCCCAAATGTATTTACAGAAACAGATTTAACAAGGTTTTTACCAAGGAGACAAATAAATGCAGTGAATTCAAAGTGAATGCACCTTCCCATTGTTGGTGAATGAGAGCAGGGAGACCCTCCAGCTGTGCTGTCGATCGTTTCCCCACACACTCCTTCCAGATTAGGATCAAATGTGAAACAAACTAAGTTGAAAGTGTAAAACAACAGATCAGAAACTAAAAGACAAATAAAAAAAAAACTGTTTTGAATCTGGAAACATTAAAACTGAAACAAAACAAAAATAAATCCAAAAATTTAATTTTAATTAAAAAACTGAACTGAACTGACAAGTGTGGTTTGCAAGTTTAAAATGTTGCATTAAGCTTTATATAAAATAATCCTTTACTTAGTAGTTCCACAAGCGGGAAGAAATTAAAAACAGAATAAAAACTGTTTAGAATAATACATGATGCACACTAATTGCACATTATAAATTGCACATTTCCCCCCCTAATAACGGTAATAATAATATTCTACACT